TTTCAAAGCCCGTGTGCCTAGATTTCATATTCCCGTTTCTCTGCTTCTGCAGTTTCTGTTCACTTCATTCTCCTCTTCGTCTCCTGGAAAGGCTTCTGAATATTCTAGTCTTGTCTCTACCCTGCAAAAGCAGGAGGAGTTTTTCACTATACTTATAACATAATATAAAAGGAAGAACATTGTACTCCTGAGGCCTGTAATGGTTCTTGAGGTAAGTGTTCCCCTGGGAAAGGAGAAACTCGGGGGATGGTGTTGGGACAGCTTTACGGAGCTTCCCCTTCCTCCCTGAGGAGTCTTCCTGGAGAGTTACCCCGTGAAAGTTCACAGTTCATTTTATAAGAGAAATCACATGCCATTATATCCATTATCTTAGAACAGTGGTCGGCAAACTCATTAGTCAACAGAGCCAAATATCAACAGTACTTCTTCAAAATAGACTCGCCCAGGCCGAAAACCGACTTCTGCGCATGGGCCACGAAGTTTCAATCGCACGTGGTATTTTGTGGAAGAGCCACACTCAAAGGGCCAAAGAGCCGCATGTGGCTCGTGAGCCGCAGTTTGTCGACCACTGTCTTAGAACATATCCCTCCTTCATACAAAAGCTTCCTTAATTTTGTAAGCTTTCCTCTTCTTCTTTTCTAATCCTCACCCGAGGGTTTTTCTATTGAATTTTAGGAAGGGAGAAAGAGAAAAACATCAATGTGAGAGAGAAATATTGATCAGTTGCCTCCTGTATGCACCCCAACTGGGGATCGAACCCGCAACCTTTTGTAACATACGGGGCGATGCCTCAACCAACTGAGCCACCTGGCCAGGGCAGGTTCCTCTTCGTTAAATAAAGCACAAACTTTCTAAGTTTGGCACTGGAATGAAAATGAAGGGCTGTCTGGGCTTTGAAATGCAGGCACTGCCTGTGGAACTCATTCACCTTTTCCTGATTACAGTTTCCCTCAACACACCGGCCTCCAGGAGACATCACTCTTTTTAACCTTCTGATTCTCATGTGGACACAGGGCTTTTGTGAGATTCTCTATAAAAAGCTGAGATATCTGAATGAGACATTAGTAAAGGACAGCAAAAGGCAAACGAATCTAGAGAGTGCCATGACATTTTCAGGGTCTGCAGGAGGCATTCCATGCCTGGGTAGCTCACCCGGGTTCTAACCTTCCTGGCCCTTGGTGGGCCTCTATTCGGTGACAATCCCTACCTTTCCTAGGAGCAAGCTTTCTGCCTCAGGGCCTTAAATTGTTTTGATTTTATTTACCCTAGATGTTCGACATAAGGAATCACTTCATACTACTGCTGGAACTCTCTCCCTTACGGTTGGGGATGCAGCTTCCATAGTGTATCTGTATCAGAATTTAACCTCTTCTCCTCATCCATCTTTATCATCATTCTCATCTCTCCTGGATCATCCCCATATTCCCATCAGCATACAAGCATGCTGTGATATACCATCTAAAAAAGAAAAACCGCAAAACCAACACACTGTGTTCTAGGACACCTTTCAGTTTATAGCTTTTTTCTCTGTTCTTCTTTCTAGCAAAACTCTTACCTGTCTCCATTGCCTCTCTCCCCATTCTTTCTTGAACCCACCACGTCAATTAGACTTTCATTCCTACCATCCCACGAAGAATGCACTTGTGAAGGGCCCCAACGACCCACTGGTAATGAAATCTCACATTCGATTCTCAGTCCCATCTTGCTTGCTGGCCACGCCCTCCTACCTTCAGAACAATTTTCACTCGACTCTGGAGACACCACATTCCCTTGGTTTTCTGCCCATATCATGAATGGCTCCTTTTCAAAGTTCTTATTATCTCATATTTCTTATTATATTGGAGTGCCCCAGGACTCAGGACTCAGCCTACCAGGGGTTGGCAAACTACTTCTATAAAGGGCCGGATAGTAAATATTTCCAGTTTGGGGGCCATATGGTTTCTGTTGCAATTACTCAAGAAGTCATAGACATAAATGAATGTTGACTTGATCATTGCCATCAGTGCTTATTATGTGCCTCATATTGCTAAATAAACAATAATTTGTCATCCTGGTATTTCTGCATAATTACATGAGCACAACTGGAGCTCAGAGGGAGGAAAGGTTTCCTTCTGTGTCGTGGAGGGAAGGGAATTCTATTTTGAAATGTCTGTACATGTCTCCTTTTTGTCCCATTTTATTTGAAATTCGGGAATTTTGAAAGGCGAAAGGCTCAGTCTGAACTTTTTCCTTATTAATGTTAGCTTTCAGCCTTTGTTCATCAACTGGGAGTGGGGGTAGGCGGAGGAAAGGAAGAGCTTCAACAGCTGGTGGGGAATGAGAGACAGCTTCTCAGTAGGGTCTGAGATAGAGGGAGGTTATTTTATTTGTTGAGATGGGGTGATTACACTCCCAAAGTGAATTTTGAGAGACAGCTGCACACAGAAAAAGAGATGGTGATTAGAATTAATTACTGTTGTAGATGTTTTGCATTTCTACAGCACTTTGTATTTACAAAGAATTCTGTAATCACTTATTAACTCTCTCCCACCAGAACCTTCTGACATGGGCAGCATTATTACAGAATTTTGTATTTGTCTTCTGGGAAGAAATCTGAGCTGCTTTGGATGCGTACTAGAATTAAGGAATCAAAATCTTTATTGCAGTTCTTTTTACTCACTGTGTGGCTTTAAGGAACCAAATAATGAGAACTCGAACATTGAGTTACTCTATAATTTTATTATGATGAATAACTTATGAAGATGGTTCAGTGCTCTGCTAAATAATAAAAGATTTCATATGTGGGTATGCAATAACTAACCCCTCTACAATTCAGTTTCCTACAGGTTTTTTAAAAATAAAAAATATATCATATTTTTATATATCAAATGCTTAGCATAGTGCCTAGCATATTTACTTAATAAATGCTTTATAAGTGTCATCCATTATTTATACTGTAATAAGACCCATGTGACATATGCACCCACTTCACTGCTTTAAGTCTTCCTGTCTTTGGGTAAGGAGGCAGATGTACATCCACGTATTCAGCAGTATTTACTGAGTGACTACCATTTATCAGGTATTGTTCCTGGAGCTAGGGATACACTGGTGAACAATAAGGGAGGTCCTGCTCTCATGAATCTTATATTCTGGCAGCAGGGGGAGGACTCACGTTAATCATGGTGGAGGCCCTTACACTTAAGTGGGAGTTAGGTTGAGATAGAGAGGACAGAAGCATGATTAGAGTATATTTAGAAAATTGTGGGGACTTTTTTTCCTGAACTTTCATATAAACAGCATTTTTCTGTAGAAATAAGTTAAGTATAAATTTATAAGCTATTCACTTTTTATAAAAGTATTTAAATACATACATATTTTATTTAAAATATACGTATGAATTTATAAAATATTTAAAAGAAAAGATTATTATTATAAAAAGTTAGAATACCACTATACTGAAAATTTTAAAAATAGAAAAATTACTCATAATTTCATTACAATATCTTTTCTTTTAAATGGCCTTAGCATATATTTGCACATAGTTTGTTCAGCACCCATTTACCGAGCATTTTCCCATGATGCTTCAGGGGCTGAACCCACAACCCTTTGGTGCACAGGCTGTTTCCTGATATTTGGGCATGGCTTGGAGTTGCAGACAGTTCGGTGGGATGGCAGTAGAGGGAGACAATGTCACATAACAACATCCTGAACTCCCTTAGCCCAGGGCCTGCTTGGAAGGGATGAGATAAAGGGAGCGGCCGGTTAGCCCTGCTGAAAAGAGCAGGTAAAGAATAGTAGACTGAAGCAGGATGAAATCCCTGGACATGTCGGGAGCCTGAAGAGAAGGTTCCAGAGGCAGAGAGGAGCCCAGGTCCTCACCATTGCCTCTTTAACCTCAGGTGACTTCTGGGGAAATAGCTGCCCCTACCATCCCAACATAAAGACCCACACTTTTCTTTCTGTTTAGGATATTATTGGGGCTATGGATCAAGATGCAAGCGAGAGTCCCTTCCAAGATAACCCTGATACAAGTTAATTTTGAGTTCTACAGTCAGTGGGTCTGGCCTTTTGCTGCCTTTTCCAGCTACTACCAGTGTCTTCTCAGGCTGGGTTCTTACCTAGATGCATCTAAGTTGGGATGCAGTTTCCTAATTTATTCCTCACTCTTCAGACACTGAAATGACTTTACAAACACTTTTAATATATATATTTTTTGTTAATCCTCACCTGAGGATGTTTTCCATTGCTTTTTCAGAAAGAGGGGAAGGAAGGGACAGAAGGAGGAAGGGGGAGAGAGAGAGAGAGAGAGCTAGAGGGAGAGAGAGAGAGAGAAACATTGATGTGAGAGAGACACATCGATTGGTTGCCTCCCGCACTCACCCCCCCTGTGGGGGGGGGGGGGGGAAACCGCAACCCAGGCATATGCCCTTGACCAAGAATCAAACCCACGACCCTTTGATGCACAGGCTGATGCTCTAACCACTGAGCACACCAGCCAGGGAAATTTTTAGATTTTTAAGATTAGAATTATACAATTGCAAAAGATGTCAAAAACATCATCTGAGAAGTTCCTTTCCATGTCCTGATTCCGTCTGAAGAGTTTGTCCTGCTTACAGTGTCAGTGCCCTGATGGCTAGATTTCATAAAATAATAACAGTACTCAATCACTAGAAATCTTTGTAGACACCAGGAGTAAATGTACTTGATCTTTATGGAAATGTGTTTGGGTCTCTCCTGCTTCCTTCTAGCCCCTTTCCTGAGACATTCCCTTGATTCTGCTCTAAAGGTGAGCACCAGTCACAAAACCCTCGAGCGTTCTTTATTCTGGACATTGGGTCCACAGGCTTCCTGGCATCTTTCATAGGAAGGCCTCCACACTCTGCCTTTCTGTTGGAAAATCCTAGAAGAGTAAGGAACAAGAGATGCTAAATCATTACAGGAGAAAACGCTCCTATTCCTTCTGTTTTATCAAAGGAAAAGTTAACCAGGTCATCCTCTAACGGGAAGAGACCCAGACCTAAGTCAGCATCAGGGTTAAGTACACCGAGAAACCTGCGCAAACAAACGACTCATCTCAAGTATGGAGAACTTAGACTTAGGGTTTGGATGAAGTCTCTAGACCAGCAATTTTTAACCGTTTTCATTTCACAGCACACATAAACTATCACTAAAATTCTGCAGCACACCAAAAATCCACTTTTTGCCAGTCTGACAAAAAATAGGTATAATTTTGATTCATTCACACTGGACATCTATTGTTGTGTTGGCAGTTGTCATTTTTTAAATATGACAATCAAAGGGAAAAGAGATCAGTGCCCTTGGCTAAATAGTCAGATATTTATTGCATGTTTTAAAATTTTTTGCAGCACACCCGTTGAAAATCGCTGCTCTAACTAAACACATTTAGGAGACTACCAACAATTTTTCTATTTTTCTTGAAAATGCTAATTTCACATGCAAAAGAGAAGTACTAAAACAGTATTGTTATTATAACAGTAGAAATAGGGGAATATAGCCCTAGCCAGTTTGGCTCAGTGGATAGAGCATTGGCTTGTGGACCTAAGCGTCCTGGGTTCAATTCTGATCAAGGGCACGTACTTGGTTGCAGGCTCTTCCCTGACCTGGGCCCTGGTGTTTCTCTCACATTGATATTTCTCTGTTTTTCTCTCTCTCTCCCACTCTCTGTAAAAGAGAGGGTTTTTACACCCATGTTTGTCAGCTCTTGGTTTCATTGATCTTTTGTATTGTTTTTTGTGTGTTTTTTTTAGATTCTATTTCTGCTCTGATCTTTATTATTTCCTTCCTTCTACTCACTTTGGGATTTGTTTGTTGTTCTTTTTCTAGTTCTTACCATTTTCTTTGTAGTATCTTTATCTAGTTTCAGAATTAGGGTAATGTTGGCCAGATAAAATGAGCTTGGGAGTCTTCCCTCTTGAATTTTTTGGGAATAGTTTGAAAATGATAGGTGTTAGTTCTTCTTTGAATGTTTGGTAAAATTCACTGTGAAGTTATCTGGTCTGGACTTTTGTTGGGAATTTTTTTATTACTGCTTTGATTTTGTTGGTTGTAATTGGTCTGCTCAGATTTTCTGTTTTTTCTTGATTTCGTCTTGGAAGATTGTATCCTTCTAGAAATTTGTCTACTTCTTCCACATTGTCCAATTTGTTGGCATATGTAATAGTTGTTCATAATATTTTCTTATAATACTTTGTATTTCTGTGGTGTCAGTTGTTACTTCTTTAATTTCAAATTTTATGTATTTTTGGTCCTCTTTCTTTTTTTCTTGATGAGTCTGGTTAAATGTTTATCAATCTTGTTTATCTTTTTCAAAGAACCAACTCTTGGTTTTATTGATCTTTTGTATTGGTTTTATTTTTTTAGATTCTATTTTATTTCTTCTCTGATCTTTTTTATTTCCTTCCTTCTATTCACTTTGGGATTTATTTGTTGTTCTTTTTCTAGTTCCTTTAGATGTTAGGCAAGATTTTTTTTTTTAGATTTGTCTTATTTTGGGGGGTAGGCCTGTATTGCTATGAATTTCCCTTTAGGACTGTTTTCACTGTGTCCCATAGATTTGGGGTTGTGTTTTCATTTTCACTCGTCTCAAGATTTCTTACTTGATCTTATTGTTAACACATTTATTGTTTAATAACATGTTATTTATCCTCCATGTGTTTGTATGTTTTTCTTGTAATTGATTTCTAGTTTTCTACCATTGTTATCAGAAACAATAACTTGATATGATTTCAATCTTCTTAAATTTACTGAGACTTGTTTTGTGGCCTAATATGTGGTCTATCCTAGAAAATATTCTATATGCACTTGAAAAGAATACATACTAAATTGTATATTTGAAAGTTGCTAAGAAAGTAGTTCTCATCACAACAAAAAACAAATGTAACATGTGAGGTGATGGATATTAACTAAACTTATTGTGATAGTAACTTCCCAATATGTACATATATCAAATAATTCTGTTGTACACCTTAAACTAACACAATGTTTTATGTCAATTACATCTCAATAAAACTGGGTGAGGCGGGGGAGACTGTTGCTCTTTGGAGGCCAGTTGCTTCCAAATACACATCCAGAGCCCAGTGCTTTCTTGTATGTGGATTATTTTTAATTCTTAAAATGTAGACTGCTGGATCCTGCCCCTAGAGATTATGAAAATCTGTACTTTCACAAGCCTCCCAGGGATTCTGATGCAAGGCCAGTTTGAAAGACACTGGAGCAGACAACCTGTTCCCGTCACTTAGTCCGCCAGATGAGAAGCATTGAATGGGCATGTGCTGCCCTCTAGTGTCCCTGGCTGCTTGCTACACTTCTGCATGGTAGAGAACCTGCTGCAAGAGCGCTGGTGGGCTTGCTGCCTGACACTACTCGGGGCTTCCAGTCCAACACTCTGTAAATCTTAGATCTTGGGTGTTAATAAAGACACTCATGTAAAAATTGTTGCTGTTGAATAGTAGCAACTATGCTTCTCTAACCGAGCACCTTGGCATGTCAAAGGTGTTCCAAAATATATTCTGAGAATGAGACACGGCAAAACTTCATAAGGCTTGTCTTAGAGGAACAAACTAACATCAGTGGCATGTCTGTATGACCCATGGTTCATATGAATCAAAAACTGTAAACAGTTTCCTGAGGAAATTCTATTACAATAATTGCGGTGCTGTAACATTATAATGGAAGCAGGGTCTGGCTTTATAGGTTTTCTAGAAATAAATGAATATGAATCCTTTAAAGTTGTGTCGTCCTCCAGAGTTCAGAGACTTTTCCTGTACTTCATCTCCCTTATTTTCTGTTTACTGTAAACCATGAGTCAGGAAGAGCAAAAGTGAAGATCCATACCCACATCATTAAAAATGACAGACAGTGTTTTCATTACATGAATGTGCCTTGTTTAGGAAGGCACTGATTCCACTGTCCTATCCACGCAAGCACCCTTCGTCAACAAGTACCAAATCAATAAGTAAACTTGCACTAAAGGCCAATTCTGCAAAAAGCATAAGATTATCTTTGTTTCTAACCCCACAGCTCTGAGACAGAGGAGCAAGGGCTGGGTGAGTTGCTGGAGAGGAGATTTCAGCAGATGGTTTTAATGGCTTCGTGGGATGAAAGTAACTGTGGGTAAATGCACTGGTTGTAGCAGGTGTGAAGTTTACAGAATTTGATGGTTTTGCCTGGAGCAAGGGGTCAGGCTAATGGAGACTTAGAACTATTGCAGCAATTGCAATTGCAATTAAAAGGTGGCAGCAGTTGCAGGAAGCAAGAGCTGATTGGTAGGATACATGGTATTCTGTTTACCTCATCTACAGCCCTTCGGTGAGGGAGAGCGTCCCACTCTAGCGTTCTGGGGATGGCTGAATGCATGACACTGACACTGGACCTATGGGATTGATAGTAGCTTATTAAGCACGTATATTCAGAGTCCAGAGGAGGAGGACACCAAATACCACACTGCATCAGGTTAACGGGAGATAGACCTATTGCAGCACCGTAGAGAGAAGTAGTAGCTGCAGGAAGCAGGACCAGGTTGGGCAGTAATAATAAAAGTAACGTAAGAGTCAAACTAGCCCAGCCAGCATGGCTTTGATGTGGTTGAGCATCGACCTATGAACCAGGAGGCCACAGTTCCATTCCCGGTTAGCGCCCATGCCCGGTTGCAGGCTCGATCCCCAGTGCAGGGCATGCAGGACGCAGTCGATCAATGATTCTCTCTTATCATTGATGTTTCCATCTGTCTCTTCCACTTCCTTCCTCTCTGAAATCAATAAAAATATATTTTTTAAAAGGAGTCAAGCTACTTTGTAGGTATGTTGACCTGCTACTGAAAAGCTGATGCAAGCTGCGTTTAAATTGATTTTTGTTAACCTGTCATTTAGTGCTCTTGGGTTAAAAAAAAGTCTTCTCTTTCCTGTACTATGGAATTTGCAAGTTCAGAAAAGATGTCAAAATGGCTCAAATTCATCCTATCTTCAAGGATGAAATATAAGGATCTATTTTTAAAATTTTGTTCTACATAAAAATAATATTCAAGAAAAATACTCTCTTATCCAATATTTTATCAAATCATTTTCAGAATATTCTTCCTTATAGCTAGCAAAAGTGCCTCATGCTAAGGATTGTTTTTTTGCATTTGTTTTTAAAACTGTGGTTAAATATACTTAACATAAAATCAACTATTTTAATCATTTTAAGTGTATAGTTCAATGTCATTAAGTACATTTACATGTTGTGCAACCATCACTACTACCCTTTTCAGAACTTTTTCATAATTTCCAACAGAAACTCTGTACCCATCTATACTAATAATCTATACTAATAAAAGGATAATATGCTAATTAGACCAGATGTCTTCCGGACGTTCTTCTGGACAAAGCTACAGAGGCTGCTGCTGCAAGGGCCGGGCAAGACTCAGGCAAGCTGCGGATGGTGGCTACTGCTGCTGCGACCGACAGGCAGTGGCAGCAGCAGCAGTGTGATGGGGGCATCACCTTCCCCTGATCGGCCTGGTCGCCTCCCTCAGAGGGAGGCCAGACTGCGGCTTAGGACATCCCCTGAGGGCTCCCGGACTGTGAGAGGGGGCAGGCCAGGCTGAGGGGTCCCCCCCCACCCAGTGCATGAAAATTCATGCACTCTGGTTAAATAATAACTCCCTACTCCCCTCTTTCCAAACCCCTGGTAAGGTTAGTTCTTGATTCATGTGAATTAGTCTTGTCATTAAAACTAGATTTTTTAAGTGTCTTTTGAGCAGGCAGGTAACACAACTCAATGTCTTTGTGCTTTGACATACTCACCACACTTGTTAGGCGGGAGACTGGATGCTGGAGGCAGGACCAAAAGCCTCTTCAGAAATTTGGGGCTTAAGAATATTTGAGCTGTAGGACCACTCTCATCAGGGCAAGAACTTCTTTTTTAAAAAAATATTTTTATTGATTTCAGAGAGGAAGGGAGAGGGAGAGATAGAAATATCAATGATGAGAGAGAATCATTGATCGGCTGCCCCCTGCATGCCCCCTACTGGGAATCAATCCTGCAACCCGGGTATGTGCTCTTGACTGGAATCAAACCAGGGACCCTTCAGTACTCAGGCCGATGTTCTATCCACTGAGCCAAACCAGCTAGGGCAGGGCAAGAACTTCTTAAGGAAATTCAGAAATCCAGGAGTGTTGGAGGCATATCACAATGTCAACAAGGGCCAGGAAGGTTAACATTAATATGTGAATCAGTGGATATAAGGATGGTGGGTATTGAAGTTGAACAGGAAGAAACTTGCTCTGCCTAAATGTGTTCAAATTCAGATGTTCATAGCACATTCAGCCAAACATTCCAACCATGATGGAATCAAACAAAGAGCCACAAATTTATGGTCCTTAATAAAAAATCTTGCCAATAAATCCATCTCCATGAATAGATAGGATGCTATAAGATCTGTTTAGGCCATTCTGGAAAATCAAGCTCCAGAGGTAAGCCTCATTCATGTGCCTCCCTCAAAGGCATTTTACAGTCTCCCTTGTCCATCTCAAGCTTGGCCAGAGTGGAAAGTGCCTTTTTTAGTAACTTAGAAAGTTATTTAAAAGGACAGCAGTTGTTTCCTTTCCTGGCCACATCAGACATGGCCCTCTTCCTGAACTTTTCCACATGACCATCTATTTATTGCCTGTGACATCAAAACCCTCACTTTCCAAGACTTAACAAGACATCGGGTGCCCTATCCTCTTGTGTGTTTTTAGTTATCTTCTCACTACAGGTGATGTTATTTATGGAGTGCCTCTGACCTAGCCTCTCTCTCACTCTTACAGGGCAATGCAGCATACATAAAGGCTCAGTTACCTGGGGGTAGATGTCCCACTATTGTCTTAAAGAAGAGAGGTGAGCCATCAGGATACAGGAAATAGAAAGAGCATGAAAGAATATATGCTGCCTGTGACCTTAGCATCTTTAGGCCTACACCCTGCACTCCATACAGACAACCAGATACTCTCATCTGAATACTGAATCACATGAGCTTCTCCTAGACCAGCGATTTTCAACTTGTGTGCCACAAGAGTCTTAAAGCATGCAATACCTGACTTTTTAGTCAGGGACACTGACCTCTTTTCCCTTAAATTGTCAAATTTTTAAAAATGACAACAGCCGCCCTGACCAATTTGGCTCAGTGGATAGAGCATCAGCCTGTGGACTGAAGGGTCCCAGGTTCGATTCCGATCAAGGGCATGTACCTTGGTTGCAGGCACATCCCCAGTAGGGGGCGTGCAGGAGGCAGCTGATCGATGTTTCTCACTCTCTATCCCTCTCCCTTCCTCTCTGTAAAAAATCAATAAAATGTATTTTTTAAAAAGTGATGAGAAGGAGCTTAAATACCATTTCTTATTAAAAGACACCAGATGTCCTTGCATAAATACTTTATATAAAAAAATAGTGACAACAGCCAACGCAACAATAGCCATCCGGTGTGAATGAATCAAGATTATAGCTTTTTTTTTTTTGTCAGATCAGCAAAAATATATACTTTTTGGTGTGCTGCAGAATTTTAGCAACTTGCTTATATGTACCATGAGATGAAAAAGGTTGAAAATCACTGTCTAGACAGATAAAGGTCTGTAATGATCCACATTCCTTGTGAAACAGGAGGGCTTTGTGATGTAGTCTGTTGGTCTGGTTGCATCCTCTGTGAGGCGGAGATGACAAGGTCTAGAATATGGACTCATTATGTTTCAAGATCTTGAAAGCCTAGGAGGAGGATGGCTAAGTTTAGATCATGTTGAACCCTACATTTGTTCTGTGGGAAATAGGATATCCCTTATACACTTATGGCTCCATCATCATTATTGCATTAATTATTTGGCAAGCGAAAAAGAACCATCAAAGATTGAAATTTGGACCTTACAAGAGCGGTTGCCAGGTAGGGGAAAGCTATATCCATGACTGAAGCAATTAAGCCTCAAATGAGATTTTATTTCCTTAATTTCTCTTGTTACCTTACTCCCTGCTTTTTTAATGGGGGTATCCTTATTTGCTCTAAATGTGGGTGATTCTTCTGGTTGGTAGGCATTTTAAAAATATATATTTTTATTGATTTCAGAGAGGAAGGGAGAGGGAGAGAGAGATAAAAACATCAATGATGAGAGAGAATCATTGATTGGCTGCCTCCTACATGCCCCACATTGGGGATTGAGCCCGCAATCCAGGCATGTGCCCTGACCGGGAATTGAACTTCGACCTCCTGATTCATAGGTCAATGCTCAACCACTGAGCCCTGCCAGCCAGGCTGGATGGTAAGCATTTAGAGCCTTGGATGGCTAAAGTCTCTTAGCTACTAGACCATCCATCCTTTATTCTAATTTTTTCTCCTGTCTCATTCTTTTTTAAAAAAAAATATTTTTATTGATTTTTTTACAGAGGAAGGGAGAGGGATAGTTAGAAACATTGATCAGCTGCCTCCTGCACACTCCATACTGGGGATGTGTCTGCAACCAAGGTATTCATAGGTCAATGCTCAACCACTGAGCCCTGCCAGCCAGGCTGGATGGTAAGCATTTAGAGCCTTGGATGGCTAAAGTCTCTTGGCTACTAGACCATCCATCCTTTATTCTACTTTTTTCTCCTGTCTCATTCTTTTTAAAAAATATATATTTTTTTATTGATCTTTTTACAGAGAGGAGGGGAGAGGGATAGTTAGAAACATCGATCAGCTGCCTCCTGCACACTCCATACTGTGGATGTGCCCACAACCAAGGTACATGCCCTTGACCATGGAATCGAACCTGGGACCCTTGAGTCCTCAGGCTGACACTCTATCCACTGAGCCAAACCGGTTAGGGCTCATTCTGATTTCTCCACAGAACTTGTTCAGGGAATGGGGGTGGAAGTATGGAGTATGAAAGTGCCTCAAAATGAATCAGAAATAAGAGAAAGGAAATGATGGGGTGAAAAAGGTAGAGTAGGGAAAAGAAAAAAGAATGTATAAAATTGGTATACAGAAAAAAGTTTGCAGGTTTTGTCTCATTTTGACATGAAAAAAAAAGTATGCTCCAGCTTCATACTCTAACTTTTCTTTCTTTCTTTCTTTCTTTCTTTCTTTAGCATCAACGGAGAATTAAACAAAGGACTAAAGATAGAACATCAAGAGGTAAAGTCCCAGTTTCTTCTCTGACTCCCCTCCACTGTGGGCAAGGTTCCCATGGAACGTTTCTCTGACCTTCAGCTTCCTATAGTATGTCCCTGACTCCTCTCCTATTCCATGTAACGCTGTCTCCTGGTTTCTCAGCTAGAAAACATTCCTCCAGAGAAGATAAGAAGCCATGGGAGCTGATCGCTATCATGAAAAGGTGATCACTTGCTCTTTGTAGTCTTCCAGCTCGTCTGAACTGTGATGATTTCTCTACTTGGCCTGGGAGAGGGATGAAGAGAGGGATGATGACTAGGAGGAAGTCAGACACAGTGGAGGCTGGAGCATTGGTTGAGGGGGTTGCCAGGGCAAGGGAGGCTTCACATATCTCAGGAGGAGGAGTCCTAGTTCTGCTCTGGGCTAAGCTCACAGTGCTCCTGGAATTCAGAATTTGACTTGTACTTAATTCATAAAAGGCTCTACATGGATCTGCACTCAGCCATGAGACAAGTTATTCAGCCAAGAGAATGGATAAATAAGTGCATACCTAAGTAATCACTCTCATACTCTTCTTACAGCTACACCCTTTCAAGGGCAGACCCCTAGACCTTGCTGATATTACTTCCTCTGGTTCTGTCTTCAGGGAGCTCAGTTCCTGAGACAGCCCCCAGCTAGGAGCTTGTCATCTCATCCTCTTCTTAAAATCCCTAGAGAATGGGATTGGCTCCCAAGAGATGTTATTTATAGATAACAGCAACTCATCAGAGTCCCTAGAATGCAGAGTTGTCACAAGTACCTCATTGTCCACAGCTTGGAAATGCTAAATACCAGGCCGTGGCCTTCTTAGCCTTAAATGAGATTGAGTCCAAGTTCTACCTGGTGACGGCCCTGGTGATATCCCATCAGCTAACCATTAGTTCCCCATCCTTTGTTCCCATCTCTGGTTAAGCTGCTCAGCCCAGGTCAACAAAGAACTCACCCACCTCTCACTCATGGCTCTGTTCTCACGGGTTGTCTGAGACCTTGCCCAACAAGCCCCAGACCCTCAGCCCAGCACACAATAACTTGCCAAGTGGCAATTTCTTAGGAAGAAAAGTAGGGGAGTAAACACTGGGTGGGGGGTGTGCCCCAGGGCGTGAAGGGCTCGGAGGGCAGGGCCGATCTTCAGGCCACAGCTTCCAAAGAGGCAGCTGTCACCCCATCAATAACAGTTGCCATGTTTCCTCTTCCAGCCAGCGCTGGTTTCCTCAGGAGGGAAGTGTGCGGAGGCTCCTGTGTGCAGACCCCTCCTGCCCTGTCTGCAATGCTATGGCTCTGGAGATTAAGCAGTTGCTGGCGAGTGAGAGTACCCCCATCTCTCCCACTTCATCGAGGCGATCGCAGGGCTCCTCTTGCCTAGATATTTTGTCCCTGTCTAATTTGTCTTTTGGTCCAAGTCAGAGTTCCCAGCACTCCAGAGAGCTTTCAGTTCCACCTGTAACCCCCTCAATGACACAACTAAAGGATCACAAATCCTTAACCCAGTCAGCTCCCCAGTCAACTGGTGCAATCAGCATCCAAGATTACTGGGCTGACCACCAACTAAGGCAGGAATTTCAAGCACCAGATGTGTTCTGGGACGCAAGAGATCCGTCTTCTTCGAGCCTTGAGGAGTGCAGGATTCCTGTGAACCAACAGAACAAGAAGAGCAACACCGAATATGTCTCAGAGAAACAAGGTCAGCTGCCCTTGAATACCTTTTCCTTCCCTGAACCCAAAGTTCACAAACCTAAAATACCCCCATGGCCTTGCATTCCCTTCACCTGTTGTTCCTGTGTCACAAAAGGTGCGAGGTATCTTTAAATACAGATAGATAAATTCATGCATTTCTATAGCTGAGGGCTTCCAAGATGTGTGGAAGAGGCCCTATGGCAGCTTATATCACACTACCGTGAATAGGTTCCAAGCCTGGAGGGAAAAAAACAACTTTTTCTTTCATCATAATGCTGCCTCTATGGCCTTCGTTGTCTCACTGGCTCAGTTTCTCAGTGACTCCCTGCAAGGGTACCCATGCAGGTGCTGCTCAAGGTGATCAGCGACAGCATCTGGTGAGGTTTGTTGCTGCTGGTCAAGACCTGTCAGTATTCGGGGTGTTAGTTCCTGATCCACGTAAGGGCTTATTGCTGCCTCCACACAGGGGCTTACTTTTTGGGGCCCCTGGGGTCATGGGAGGTCAGCCAGTCCACCCAGACTTTCTGGGTTTTTGGAGGATCCACTATGGATCCAGAGCAAATATCACTGCAAGCAAATCCCAAACTCCATGACTCACCCTTTGGTTACTAAGCGGTCTCTGTCCATTACCTCGGCAACACACTGAGAATTCAGTGTGTTATCTGCAGCATAAACACAGCTATTTTTTCATGGTTCCTCTTTTCTGCACAGTCCCTGGTCCACCCCTGGAGATCTCTCCACAAAAGGGGAGTTCCCAGTCCCTTTCCCTTCAGTGATTTCTCCTTAGTCTCTACTGTCGGGTAGCTCTACCTTCTTCCCACATTTCTGAATTTGGGCTTCTCCATCTGACTATCAACAGGCCCATATCAACGTCCCATTTTCAACTCTGACCAATTGTGAAGCCTTGGAGTGGCACTGCTGCAAAGGAAGTTCCAGCCTCAGTGGGACTTGCCATCTGTTGCCCAGAGATCTCTGTAGATGCAGAGAACCATGCAACATAAGCCCTGAGACATGTTAAGCAACCTATCTCCCGAGACTCAGGGGCCTACCTGTTGGGGAAGCCTATATCATTCAGGAAGAGGCAGGTAGTGTTTTCCTGGAGCAGGCCCAGAGCTGCTGGAGTTCCACCTTCAGAAGGGGTCAGTTTAGCAGGTCAATTCACCATTGCTAGGGCCTGCTCCAGAAGATCCAGCAGTCCACCCAGTTTCTTCTGTCCCCTGATGACCAGCAGCCCTTGCCCTGGAGCAGCACCCTAACCAGTGTGAGTGTCCCCTAGTCTGCAGACCTAGAGGCCCGTGGGGATAGGGACCTGTTCTGATACTTTGTGGCAACAGGACCAGTTCACAGTTGCTTGCCCTGGCCAAGGCAATGTTGCAGAGCCAGACTACAAATGGGGGAGATCTACTAGGTATTGTCCCTGTCCATGTCTGCATGGGGGGACTGTAAATCACTGGGTCTGCAGCATTTCAGGGGCCCTGGAAGCAACCTTGTTCCCTTACAGCCCAGAAAGTAAACTTCTGTGTGGAGGCAGCAATCAACCCTTATATGGATCAGAAAGTAACACCCTGAATACTGACAGGTCTTGACCAGCAGCAACAAACCTCACCAGATGCTGTCACTGATCACCTTGAGCAGCACCTGCGTGGGTATCCTTGCAGGGAGTCACTGAGAAACTGAGTCAGTGAGACAACTTTTGGCCTTTCTGTCAGGGGTGCTGTCTCTTTACTACATGGCTTTCTCCAAGGTCATGGACCAGATGCTTCACTGATCACCTTGAGCAGCACCTGCGTGGGTATCCTTGCAGGGAGTCACTGAGAAACTGAGTCAGTGAGACAACTTTTGGCCTTTCTGTCAGGGGTGCTGTCTCTTTATTACATGGCTTTCTCCAAGGTCATGGCCCCAGCAATCAGTAGCCAATCAGCAATTACAGAGATGGAGCCTGGGTTTGTTGGGGGTCCAATAGAGCCTCTGACTCAATCTCATGTAAACAGCAACGTGTAAGTCCTGGCCATGCTTTCAGGATGCCGAAGAAACTTATGCAGACAGTGCTCGAGCATTCCAGATTGAAGTACAGGCGAATGGATACAGTGCAACTAGATAGCCAGACAGATCCTAGTACCCTGTTCACTCAATACACCCGTCTTGGCCAAACTAAATTTTTACCTGAAAAAGAAATTCCTGGAGATACATTTGGGACATCTCATAATGACAAAGGAGTCCAGGGAAGGAACTGTGGCTATCTCAAGGAATAGCTGGGCCAAGGAGCCCTTTAGGAATCTAAACAACCAAGGGAAAACATTGCCCCAGGAACTCCCCATCCCACCAGGCATCCTATGTGCCCCTGAAGGGTCCACTTTAAAGAAGAGCTTGCAAATAAACTAAGGTGGTGCACAGAACCAAAAGCAAGCTAATTCCAGAGCAGTCCTTATGGTTCTGCTCACTGAGCCTTCAAGATCTCACAACCCAGTGGGGACATAACAGAGATTTGGGTGCTTTGTGTTCAGCTGGAGGCCAGTGTGAACAACCACAGCCAGGAGGAGCCCTAGGCTCCTTAGCCCCAGGTCTCTACAAGATAGAGACAACTCCCTACTCCAGCAGAGAAAATAGAGGACCCAGGGAAACTCAAAACAGCAGAGAATGACAGAGAAGGGAGTGCAACACTGAGGCTCGCCCCAACCAGAAAGAACATCTACTGTGCCAAAATTCAAGGTTATGTAGGGACACTTCTAAGTTGGACCACCAGAGCCCCTGACTTCCCAACTGTATCTCCAGGATCTTTCTCAAATAGAATTTTAGTTTGACCAAGATGGTTGCCTTGAGTGAGTAGAGACTAGCAATGACAAGTCTGGATCTATAGAGTCACCCTCACCTTGAGTTCTTAGAGCATCCTCCAGGATTTCTTGGGGCAGAATGTCCAGATAAGAATGGTCTGCAGGGCCAGTAGAGCAAGCTGAATGACCTCATTCAAATAAGGATTCCTGAGAATGCCAAATCTGCAATGTCCAGAGCTGAAATGGCCTGACCTTACAGGATCACCTTCTGGGCCACCATTCACTAGGTCAAATTTTGCAAGTCCAGCATTTGAAGGGGCCCATATTTTTCAGATCCAAACTTTTCAGGAACCAAATTTGTAGGGTCACACTTTCTAGGGTCAGGAGCTTTAGGGTCTGGTAAAGGCAGCTCACATTCACAAGAGCCCTACCCTTCCAGAAGCTGCAGAAGCTGGCTTGGGAAATAAGATGAAGCATTTTACACACTGGATTAAACACAAGTTGAAAGATCAAGGGCATAAAGAATCCATTCTCCTTTCTGAGGATGAGACAGTGGCCAAAACCACGACCAAAAAGGTTGAGAAGAGTCCACCCTCCACCAGACGCCCTGTGAAGCAATAGAGGACAAGAATATCACCTTCTTTGATGCCCACCAGTGCCTAGACAATGAACTCCAGCCACACCCCTTTGAGCCTGGCCACTCCTGGTTCCAGTGCCTTTCCCACAACAGATCTAAGCACTGTCCTCAGCTGACTTGTGCCACTCAACCAAAAATCCATGCCAGGTCTCAACTCTCACCTCAGCAGGAGGCACTGGTCTATACAGGGAGAAAACCCATCCCAGAAAAAAAAGAGTTCAGGGTTTCCAAAAACTCTGCATATTTCTGAAAAAGGCTGTCATCGTTTCCATTAATTTGCAGGTGAGGCAGTACCTTCTCCAAATATACACTATAACTCTCTGCAAAGAACCACCTGTTTTTGCCTGCTTATTTTCAATGTGATATGTAATGAAGAGAGTAGAGGAGGTAGATAGTACTTCCCATATGGTATAAGAGCTTAAATTCATATTTCAGATGGATTAGCATTCCACGTAACTCTTTCAGCTCCACCCTGAACTACAGATAAAGGGACTTGGGCAGAAAAGGAAGACCCTTCTCTAAGGTGCATTGAAGCCAAAGATCAGGCTTGAATTCTTCTGATAGTGTCTTTGGGTCCCAGAGGAGCAATGTGAACATGAAGACAGCACAAGAAGTAGTGGCCAGGAATCCAGTGCATTTTTGGCCTATAGACACAATTTATGGATAAACTCTGTATATCCAGAACCTGTAGGGAAGGTTTTTAGAGGAGTGTGCACCATCCTTGGGGAGGTGCTTTGTGTTTATCAGAAGCACAAAGCTAATATGACAGATGTCAAAAGTAAATGATAGCATCTTCCCTCTCTGTGCCCTCTTATTATTGATTAACTCTTTAAGGGTTAGCCATCTGGGAACCTGCAGTAGCCTGTTGCCTGTTTGACCCTCATTGCCTTTCAGTTGCATGAATGAATGCCTCCTAAAGTGAAGAATAGTTGATGAGAAGTTCCTCAAAAGGGTCACAATAAAAATGACTTTTAGCTGAATTTTGCATTCAACAGTTCAAATATCTGAGTACTTTATATGCTAGGTACTATGCCAGACCCTAGAGACATAACAGTGAACAGCCCACAGGCCCTCCTCCAATGGAACTCATGGAATCATGGAGTAGACAGTTAAGTAAAAAGTCACTGAAAGCCCAGCCAGCATGGCTCAGTCAGGAGGTCACAGTTTGATTCCTGGTCAGGGCATATACCCAGGTTGCGGACTCAATCCTCAGTGCGGGGCTTGTAGGAGGCAGCGGATCAATGATTATCTCTCCTCATTGATACTTCTATCTCTCTCTCCCTCTCCCTTCCTGTCTGTAACCAATAAAAATATATATTTTTAAAAAGTCACTAAAAGCTGGTTAGAGAAATAAGTGACAGGGAGATATAAAGTACAGCACAGGGAATATAGTCAATAATATTGTAATATGTATAGTGTCAAATGGGTACTAGATTTATCAGAGCGATCACTTCATCTAATCTAATAAAAGAGAAACATGCAAATTGACCGCACCTCTGCTATGCCCCAAGCCATGCCCACCAGCCAATCAGAGCGACTATATGCAAATTAACCCAACCAAGATGGTGGTCGGCAGCCACAGAGCTGGAGCAAGCAGGAGGCTTGATTGCCCAGGCGATGGAGGAAGCCAAGCTTCTCGCCTGCCCTGGTCAGCTGTAGCCTCCACTCAAGGAAACAAAGTTTCAATTATAGAAGATAAATAAATCCCAGATATCTGCTTCCAGCCAGCCTCCACTGGAAGCTTGGGTGGCTGGGGGCCGTGGCCAGCCTGCAAACAGCCATCAGCCCCTCACCCAGGCTAGCCAGGCACTCCAGCGGGGACCCCCACCCTGAAGGGGGTGTGGCCAGTCTGAAAACAGCCCTCAGCCCCTCCCAGGTTGGTCAGGCACCCCAGCAGGACCCCCACCCTGATC